GCAACCCAGGCATGTGCCCTTGACCAGAATTGAACCTGGGACCCTTCAGTCTGCAGGCCAATGCTCTATCCACTGAGCCAAACCGACTAGGGCCAATAAAAACATATATTCAGAACACCAACAACAATAACAAAAACAACAACACAGGGAGACCCAGAGGAAAAGGCCGTGTGAAGATGGAGGCAGGTGTTCGAGGGCAGCCCCAAGCCAAGGAACACGAAGGGTAGCCAGCAGCCGCCACAAGCCAGGAGGGAGGCAGGGAACGATTCTCCCTAGAGCCTTCCGAAGGAACCAGCCCTACTGACTCCCTGGTTTCAGGCTTCCTGTCTCCACAACTGCGGGAGAGTAACTTGTTTTTATGGCTCACCCAGCTGTGGTAATTTGTTACAACAGCCCTGGGAAGCTAATGAAGACAGAAACGGGTAGAAGACAGATACAGTGAGGCTGAAGGGCTGGAGGCAGGGGAGGCGAGGGAGCCAGTGTTACCCGCGCCCCCCCCCCCCCCCGGCTAATTTGGATTGCCATCCCATCCGGTCCAACAGTCAGGCCCCCTTTCATCCACTTCAGGCCCTGATCCAGAGGACTCCCCTTTCACATCTCAGCACTTGCTTCCCTGCCGGGGCGACTTTAAAGAGCTTTTTCTTGGGACGTGGTCTCGAGCTGTTGTGTATGCGTTCCCTCCTGCAATCGTTAGTGCTTTCTCCCTCTCCTATCTCTCGTTGCCTTTGGAAGTGCTTTGTACACAGTGGGTGCTTAGTAAGTGTTATTTATCCTCTCTTCAAAGTGAGGATAATGTCTCCCACTGCTCCACTGTGACGTGTCCCCCTCTCACACCCCAACCCTGGAAACAAGTTCTTCAAAAGAACTTGGTAACACAATCATCCCTCCATGTGCCTTCTAATCTTGCTCCCAGTCACTAACTTGTGTATAAACTTGGATAAGTAACTGTACTTTCCTCTCCTTAGTTCCCTTTTAGGTACAATAAAAGGGTTGGAGTGGATTCATTCATTCGTTCATTCATTCCTCCATTCATTCAAAACTTGTTTATTAAGACTGTACCACAAATCCTGTGAATTCAAGGGTAAACAAGAGACAGATCATGCCTTCGAGGAGCTCAAGTTTCATCGAAGGAGGCAGGAGTAGCAGTTAAGACCCAGTGAGAGCAGCACAGGGCAGGGGGCTCCGAGGTCGGAGTGGCCAGGACAGCTGGGGAGGGACTGAGAAAAGCTTCACCAGAGAGGTGACTAAGCTGCTTCTTGGGGGATCCTTCCAGGTCCCAGGTACAACAGGCTGTCCCTCTAGAGCAGGGGTGGGGAACGTCCGGCCCGTGGGTCATATAAGGCCCATGAAATCATTTGGTTTGGCTCTGCCAAGGCAGTTGGGGTGAGTTAATTAAATGTTTCACCAATTATAGCAGGCTAATTTTTAAGTCGATAATTTTGTATGGCCTGCAAATGATCTTATAAACATCCCAATGGCCCTTGATAGAAAAAAAAAGGTTCCCCACCCCTGTTCTAGAGAAACAAACTTTGGGTCAAAATAATAATCTTCTAAGAAGCTGTGCACAATGGAGCAGGCTCCCCTGGGAGGCGCCCCACTGGGAGGAGCTTCCAGTAGAACTGCCATAGGTCAGGTGCCAGCTCTCTGGGATTCCTTCCAACTCTGGGATCCCAAGAGTCTCTGCAAAGGGGGGCCAGTGCCCCCTTTCCACATAAACGGGGAGGAGAGTCGATTCACACTTAAAGGCACTGGGAGAAGCAGCTCTGGTGTGGATCTTTCACCCCAAAACCAGTTGAACCTCACACACAGACTCCCTGAGCCGTCCGCGACAAGCAAAAGGCAACAGCGCGAGTGTCATATTACTTTTATTCTTCTCTCCCTTCAGTCACGGACCGGGAAGGATAGCTGAGGATGTGTGTCTGTCCGCAGATGCTGGGAGGAAGCTCCAGGGTGGGGCGGCGCACAGCGGTTTACAGCAGACAGGTAAGCAGTGTCCGGAGGTGCGACAATGGTTGGACTACAGGGAAAGCTGGAGGCTGATGAGAGGTCTGGGGAGGTCAGAGGAGAGCCAGGAATGGAAACCTGCCCACAACTCCTGCCATAGGGCCCCCTGCTTCTCGCACAGAACCAGGCCCTGCTTTTCCTCAGGCGGCCACCAAGGGGCAGCAAAGTGCTGGTGTGACAGCCCAGCCCAGCTGGAGAGCTGAGAGCCTTGGGAATGGTTCAGGTGGCCAGGGAGGGAGAGACTGCGCATTTTGGGGTAAGGGCGTCTGGTCTGTCGGATCCTGACTCCCTTGG